CAGAGAAAGTGTAGGAGGCTCATTGTGGATTCTATTCCCTCAGAGTCCTGCTTACCCACACTGTGCTGGAAGACCAGCGGTGACAGACCATAATAGTATTTGTCAGTTTTTAACAGAAAGTTTGTAAACAAAAGGCAAGTCTCTAGAGAATTCTGTGCCAGCATCTGGGCTGAGTTAATCATCCTGCCAGTCCTCACTAAGCAGGGAAAGAACACAGTCCCAATGCTTCAAAACAAGGTCACTCTGTCATTGTATGGCTTTCACAAATATCCTTGGTGTCACTGCCTCAAAAAGGAACTGGACAACCTTATTCTAAAAGAACAACCCAATTCTCTTAGTCCTCAGGGAAGAGAATAGAAACTAAGCTTTATTGGGTACATGCTGCAAGCTACTTAGACTTTCCCAACAATGCTTCAACATCATTTTCCAGATGCAGAACCTGAGGTTCAGAGCGGTGAGATGACTCCCAAGTTACACAATAAGCACCTGCCTGACATCTAGGCCCATGCCCTCTCCACTGAACCAACCCCTTACACTGACGTGGCATGCTCCTCCTCCACCAAATTCCTACAGTAATGACACAATTATTAAGTGGCTTTGTCAGCTTCTCTTCTCTTCCAATTTTCATGTCCTACCTAATACAGATGGTGAGCAGCTAGTGATCAGGGACAAGCACATACTTGTGTACACATAGTTTCTTAAATATTAAACTATCCAGATTCATAGAATCATCCCCTTATAGACCACAAAGGGCACAGAGGCAAACAGCTGATTAGGCAAATGTGGTCAGTGGTGTGACGGTAGACTAAAGGGGAGGGGTACACAAGTCTACTGGGAATGGGGGGGTGTGTGTGTTTCTTTTAGTCGGGGGAGGGGATGTTGGGCAGCAAAGGTTCTAAAGGAGATACCTGGGCTGGGTCTATGTGGCCATCCAAGCGAGGAAGGGCATCTCAGGCCACCAACATAAGCTAGCTTCCTAAAGGACAGTTGTGACATGCCAATCCTCTGCTGAAGCCCATGATGCCCAATTAGGGGGCCTCAAAGTCAGGGCTGGGCTCTGGGTCAGAAAGGATCTGTGAACTCTATAGTTTTCCTAAAAGCTCAACTGCAAATTCAGTATTGCTTTTTACTGATTATTTATGTATGACTTGCATTAATATAGCATGCAACCAAACTTGCATTTATTATTACTTGTTAAATAAGCTGAATGGGAAAATCTCTCAAACATATCCTGTGGGGCTGTAGAGACTGAAAACAACTGCTCGAACTACTGGAAAGGAAAAATAAGTGTTGGTTCCAATCCCTCGCTCAGTCTGAAGAGAGTTGGGAGATGTGGTGGACAAGGCTGAACACTAGTGCCAGGCCCAGCCCCCAGCACTGGATGGGGGAGAGGGATTAGTAAGTCACAGTGCAGTATGATATTAAGATCCTGCCTTGCCTCCCTCCTCAGGACCTTCTAACCTCTAACTTCAGACTTCATGGATCTCAGGACATGGGAGGACACTGATAAGGACTGTGAAGAGGAACTAAATTCTCCCATCTTTATTCCCTCTTCCCTCATTCCAAACTGGCTTTCAAAAGCCAGCTCATAGTTTTATGAACAAAATTCACTTCATAGCCTCTTCATAGTTTATTCTTAACTTCATTTAAAACAACAAAAATAAATACATAAAATGAAAGGAGGAAAGGATTTGATACTAGGTCTCATTCCCTGAGGATCAAAGACTGGATAGGTTTAGCCTTATCTGAAAAGGGGCTCAAAGAATGATCTTCCTACTTAACTTGCAGTCCTCTCCCCTGCCTCTCAGCATTTACATGATTTATCACCTTCTCCACTGCAAAATAGCTTCCTTCTATAATCTGCACAACTACAGTCTTGATCTCAATTTTCCAAGATGCAAGATACAATCCATTCTTTCAACAGCAATTTCAACAGTATCAGTTAACTGTCTCTATGCCTAAGAGGTCTTACTATCATAAAACCTTCTGACTGGAGGAAGAAGCTCTTTTATCTCACATCAGCCACTCAATTTTCTTTTGTTGTGGGTTGCTACTTAAATCTGTGCCTCCAGGGCTACATCTCCTTTTTACTCAAATAGATGCTTTTAATTTCTTATTAGTCAAAAATTAATTTTGTTTTATATTAGGATTAATACATGAAAGAAATGCAGGCTATATTATATGTACACACCACATATTTAATATACTCACCATATACTCTTAATCAAGATCTAGAAAAATAAACACCCAAATGTGAACAATGAATGCCAACTCTCTTAAGGACAGGTTTTTTTCTTTATTTTTTCTAATTAGCCTATTCACTTCTGGATTACTTGATAACAAAAAAAAAACTATCACTGAATGCAGACTCCTCTCTTTTTTGTCCTTCCTCCTCTACAACCCTTTGTTCCACATTCACTGTCATGGCATTTAACTGATTCTCATGGCACCCAGGAGGGGAGGAAGGTATTGCTCTGATCCCTGCTTCACAGTCAAGGTGGGGAAGGAGGCTCCCTAGTGTGTAGATACTTATCCAGGTGATTCAGCAAATTAGAGCATGGCAGCCAAAAAA